GCACATAGGGAGCAGCTTGTGATGCTCGCCCTCTGCTTCCTGACCCTCCTGCAAACACCTGGTTCACATTCTCTGGCCTTTCTTCCTGGTGGGTGTCTGTCTGTCTGTATCTGTGTCCTTCCCCCTAACGACTTCTGAACCCACATCATGCAAATTTGGCGGAGGGCTCGCGGATAATTAAATCTGTGTGAGTATGAGATGGCTGAGAGGAGGTAGGGAATCCTGTAGATTCCTCCGAGCCTCTGCAGCGTGAGGTCGTGTGCTGTTCAACACCAGCAGGTCCACGTGGGAGGCACTGCTTACAAACGCTTCAGTTGCAAAAACGTTTTTGCTCTCAGTTTGTGCAATTTTAGGCTCACAGGATGGCAATGTTATTTTAATGGAAACCGAAATTCTTTGGTGCTGAGGTGGGCAGGAGGAGCGGTGCCTTCCAAGGGATGGAGGCGGCCAAATGGGGTCGTGTGGCCACAAAACCCCCACGGAAATCTGGGAGGCACATTGGGATGACTTCCCCTGCTGAAACAATGTGGGGCGGAAACCTTTAAAGTGGTCATTACCGAGAGAGGAAAATTTTTTATGTTAAAGCATCCTTTGTTCTGAGGGTTTACCAATACCTGCGGTGGCCAACAGACTTCTGCAGTTCCTAATTGACTTTTAAGCCATTTGGCTGTATGTGTCATAGGGGCAATACCGGGGTCTGGGCTTCAAGGTTTCCCTTCCAGCACTTCCAGGCTCCTCTCCTCCTGCCCACTCGGTCAGCACTGACAGACTCGGTCCATATCTGCTCTCCACATCCCAGCCTGGACAGAGAGGAACTTTCCCTGGGCTGTCTCTGTCAGATGCTGTCCTTCCATCAGAGCTCTGCCTCCCTGTGCTCATGCCATACCAGCTTCTACTGTACGCTTTCCCTGATGCAGAATGGGAACATCCTTTTCCATAGCTGCCACTGAAGGGCTTTGTTCCTGTTTAACTGGATTTCTCTGAGTACCCTTGCTTGTGTACTTGTAGCATTAACACTGTGTGCTGGTTCCAGGATCTGAGACCTTAATGCTGCTTTTCCAGGATCTGAGATTTCAATATGCACCACCTCAATCCTGTTCTGGGCTAACTGCACCAAATGGGCTGGAGGAGGGGCGAGAGCAGGGCTGGAGAACACACTGGCAATGAGCAACGTTTCTTCATTATCCACTGGGAGTTCTTTATTATCCGGTGCCAGATCCTCGTGTTTCTGAGAGTCTCCTTTTACACAATTCAGCTGAACGCGTCATTTTGGCTATTTACCATCACTGGAAAAATGTACTCCCTGCCCTTGAGTGTGGGTCTGAGAAGCTGAGCTCCCATCCCATCCATGTTCCTCTATGGATTCTGTTCCCTTTGGGAAGCAGTGCAGAGGGACCCCGCAGGGCTCAGAGCACTTTGTTGGTGCTGCAGCGATGAGCAGAGCTGTATTTCTGTGTAAGTAATGGCATCTGATGATGTCACCCTATTTTTCTATTACATGTTTTGATTTCAGAGAAGAATTTATCCTCTCTTCAGGGGTTACACCCATCCATGACTTTCCCAGCCTGTTTCTGTGGCTTCGTAGCTCTTCTCTTTCCTACCAGTGCTTTGTCCTTTCCCTTCTATCAGCCAAGCAAAGGTGGAAGCTACAACTCAGTGCAGCCAGGAGCCCCAAGCTGGCTGTATGTTGATTGCTAAGCAACACAGAAAAAAAGGGGTTTCCTGTTTTCCTTTTGGTTACGAGTACCTGAAGTGGTGTTTGTTACATGAGCTGACCAAAACACTCTGGCAAGAAGGCAGCAATGAGAAAAACACTGCCTTCAAAGACACACAGTGCAAGAAATACGCATCAGTGTCTGCAGCATGTCAAGCTTCAGCTGACCTTGGAGCCAGAAGTTCAGTGAACACTCCTCAGAAAGTGCTTTGATTCCCCTTGCTGGCAGCATTCTGCTCCATATTCAGAAGACTGCAGGTCTGAAAACCAGAGGTTGAAGTTATCAATCCTGAACAGAAGGTGCTCCAACACCGTGGCAAAGTGGATTGGTGTGAACCATGGAATTACAAAGGTTGGAAGAGACCTCTAAGATCACTTAGTCCAGCTGTCAAAGATGAGGAGTGGGATGGGGTGGAAATGTTCTGCAAGCTGCTTTGCCTTCCAGATCTGTGGCACAATTACTCTGTATGGCCAAGCACTGGGGCTCTGCAGGAGATGCTGTGCCCAGCTGTGCGTGGGGCTGCAGGTGATGAAGTGCAGCAGTGTGGGGTGGAGAGGTTAACTCCTAATGCCAGGGGAGTTGGTGTGATTCCTTCGTTAGGCACTGATGATCGTTAGGAGAGCTGGCTGGGATCTGTTGGTTCCTGGATTTTGGGAGCGGTGCTGTAACTTCACATCAGAGTTAGGGTGTGCTGAGTGCGGCGGTGACATCAGGTTCCCTTCTTGCACAAGGTCTGAGGGTTTTTCCCTGGAACAGATGAGGAAGTGGTGCTAGTTCTTCATTTTATGAGAAATGCTAGTAATGATCATCATCATCATGATCATCATCACCTTTCAGCTAAGACTGGGCCTTGGGAAAGCAGCTTGGGGAGGGCTGGATGGAGCTGGGGGTGCTCCTGGGCTGTGGGATGAGCTTGTGTATGCTGGGAGAAAACTCAGGGCATGCACTGAGCCCTGGTGCTGAGACAAACGTAGGGTCTGAGCCTGCAGTGCTTCCCCAGAGGCGCTGAGCTCACCCAGGGCACTGGCTCAGCATTGGCACAAGTGCCCGTTTGTTGCCTGTTCCGCATCATTTGCCATGTGGGGAAGCCTGCGGGCTACAAGCTGTGGCAGATGAGGGCAGATCTGTGATCTGAAGGGGCACCAGTTTGTGTTTATTCAGCCAAATGCTCACTGCGGAGTGATGGGAAGGAACCAAGCGAGGGGTTTCCCGCAGCCTGTGTCTGTCTTTGCTGCTGATGCTCACATCAATATGAAGTGCTCAGCATGTTGTGAAAAGCTTTTGCTGAGTTTGCCAAATATGAAATGATTATTTTTATTGTTATTATTATTTTACTGAGTCGTTCAATGGTGGATGGTTTCCTTAAATCCCCAGTCCCGGAGTCACGTGCCTGTAAGACAATCCTAGAATCACAGAATGGTTTGGGTTGAAAGGGACCTCAAAGATGAGAACTTGCACAAATTTTTAAGACCTTCACAGCTGTAGGGGAGGAACCCAAGGGTGTTGTCTGATGGTTGCCCTTCAGAGGCAAAGCAGAAGGCTTGAGCATGTCTTTGCTTTGGGTCTCACGGTGCTCAGCAGCACCAGCCCCAATGTCTGAGTGTGTGGGGTTGGCAGTGCTGAGCAAACATCCTGAACTGGGGCTCCTGACCCCGCTTGGAGTGTTTTGCTTTTCAGGCCCAGAAGGTTCCCAGGAGAGGGAAAAGGAAACTGCCTGGCTATTTTTAAACCCTCACCATTGCCTTCCTGCCACTATATTATTTATTATCCATTATCAGAAGTGTTTCTCTCCTGGAATCATCTTTAGTGGTCAACCAAGGGACGGATGAATACCACCCATCAAACAGCTCCATAGCTTTCTGTAGAGGTCAGACAAAGCTGGGGGGTTCTGCAGAGGTTTGCAGCTGCAGACGAGCAGTGCTGCTATCTGTTCTGTGCACCCAGTGCTGAGCCATCCCAGCTGTAGGGCCACAATTTCACCTCCCGAAGAGCTGAACCCTGGCTTCTCTCCCCACGACCCCACAGCCCTGAGGGCAGCACTGATTGCTCTGGAGGTTCCCAATCTCTGCATGCACCGAGCTCAGCTCTGCATGTGACCCATTGCATTGCAGAGCACATCTCGCTGCATCACACGATGCTGCACGGCATGTAGGGTCAGGATTGGCATCACCCCCATAGAGCATCCCAGAGGTGTAGGGCTGTGTGCAGCCCTTGTGCAGGGCTCTATTCCCTTTCCCATAGTGTAGCCCTGGAGGTCCCGTTGACCCTCTGCAGCTCCAGATAAGCGGGACAATAGCTTGCATTGTCTTCCTTCATCCTCCTGCCTGGTATGTTTTCAAGTTGAGTATTTCAGCTTTGTTAATCCTTTCCTGCCCAAGCAGGAGGTGCCCTGGGCAGAGCTGGATGTGCAGCCCCTATATCCATGCTCTCATTGGAAATAAAGCCGCGGGGCTGCACGGCTGGGAGGCTGCTGTTATTTCAGCTGTGCAGAGAGCTGAGGCATAAGCGTCTGGGTTTTGGTGGTGTCAGCAGCAGCTGCCATGCATTTATCGGCAGGGAAGGGGAAGGGGCAGGGAAGGGTGAGAGGATGCTGAGCTCAGTGCGTGCAGTAAGTGTGGAATGGCTCTGCCTGTTCCTCTGAGCCTCTGAAATGTTATGTTGTGTGGTTTCAGCATCAGCCTGAGTGCTCAGAGACACTTTAGGGTGAGATCGGCAGCCCTGCTGAGCCCCAGCCCAGTTCCCCTTTCCCTGCATGGCCACACACTGCTGCTCTGCACCCCACCGCACCCCCCCGGTGCCTGCACATCGGGGCCAGCACGGGAAGGGGCCAGGGGTTCCATGGGCTGTAATTCTGGGTCAGCACCGGGAGGGGGCCCAGGGGTCCGTGACTGCAGCACCCCATAAATCTACTGGGTCTGGGCGGTGCTTTGAGCACAGATGGCACCTTGGGGGGCTGAGCTCGCGGGATGGGAAGCAGCCTGGCTGAAGCACTAGGTTAATACTTAGCGGTGGGTTCGAGGTGGTGCGCTCTGAACATCAGAGCTGGATGTTAGGAGCCGTATGAACGCTTGGCGATATCAAGACCCTCCTCCGGGACCGGCGTCCCACCCCGCACGGCTTCTCCCATTACCGCCCACCTCAATCCCTTTTCGCTCGGCTCCGCGTTGCCCCATCCCGCACTCCCCCGCATCTCCCGGCTGAAGCTCTGCCCCCTCCGCCCGCTCCTTCCCCCCGGGGGCCGAGCCGAGCCGGGCCGGGCCAACCCCCGGGGCGGGCGGAGGCTGCGGGGGAGGAAATCCAAGCGCCGCTTTTCTCAGCCCGGCCCCTCCGTGGAGTCGTTTTGCTCCACCGCTGCTCCCTCCGGCAGCTTCTCTCCCATCCCGGGGGCGGTGGCGGTGCTGATCTCCGGTTATCCCGGGATCCCGGTCCCCCCGGGCCGGCCCGGGGATGCGGTGGCTGTGCCGATGGTGAGCCGCCGGCACCATGCCGCCCCGCCCGCCCCCGACATGTTCGAGGGCTGCCGGCGGGCGCGGAGCCTGTGGGGCGGCGTGAGGTTGGAGGTGGCCGGGGAGAACAGCCCCGTAGTGCTGCACAGCTTCACCCAGCTCGACCCCGACCTGCCGCCGCTGGAGGTGAGGATGAGGGGGGTGGTGGGGGGGTTTGGGGGAGTGGGGGTCGTGCTGTGATGAGTTGGGTTGGGGCTCAGCCCGCTGCAGGAGGATCGCGGTGCTCGCCCTCTGGCAGCTCCCGGCGTTAAGTATGGGGACAGCTGTGGGACAACGCGGCGTTGTTTCGTTTCATTTGTTAAATAAGCGAGTGGCCCTGCTTGGTGTTTTTGCTCTGAGCGGCGGGCAGGCTGCCAGACAGAGCTCTGTAAAGGGCTGCCCTTCTTCTAAACAGCAGGGGAAGGGGACAGACCTCAAAATAAGTTTTTTTTTTTAGCGTCTTCTTAAAAATCTTATTAATATCTCAGCTGCTGCAGGCAGGGAACGGCTCTGATCTGTCCTTAAGGACTTCGGGCTTGTCCAAACCACAGAAGTGTCCTCTGGGAAGGTTATGGGCTTTGCTGGAGGATGCAAAATGTTGGTGTTGCTTTGGGTTCGACCCCGCGCGGCTCAGCGCTGGGCGCCTGGAGCTCAGCCCGAGCGGTTTGTTGCACGGAGGTGGAGGCTGAGGCACCCAAAATAACGTGAGTCAGAGCTCTGGCTTTTTTCTTCGGAATGGGCGATCGTCTTCTGCGTGCCAGGAATGTCATTGATTCGGAGCGAGCGGTGCTGGGAGGGAGGTTTGGGCATTCCCAGCAGCACGGAGCCCTGCAGGCTGGAGGAACAGGGGTTAACATCGGCGAGGTCAGGGGCTGGGCTGGGTGCAGAGCCAGCTGCAGATGTGCTTCGTGGCTCTGGATGCTGGTGAGGGGGGTGGGGGAGAATAAGGGACGCCCCGCAGAACCTCTGAGTTCCGTGCAGATATCCGGCACCGCTTCAGCACGGCGATTCCATTCCTACCCCGTAACCCACAGTGGAAATTCCTGCTCAGGCTGTACGGGATCAGTGCTGGCTCCAGCCCTATCGCTTCACCTCTGGCCTGGCAGCAGGGATTTGTCAGCTCATGAAAACCCTCTCCAGCTTGCTCTCTCAACCACCCCCCTCCCCTCCCCTCCTACTCCCCCCTCTCTTCTCCCCCTTGCTTCTCTCTCCTGGGGGTGGGTGTGCTGACATTGTTCGCAGCACATCATCTGGTTCATGTTATGTCTGGCAGGAAGTCCAGCCCCTGCGGCCTGCTGCGCTCCGGGAGGCTGCATGGGGCCACGGTGCTGGCAGGGATGCAGGAGGAGCGGGGAGGAGGCAGAGCGGGGGCTCCTGTGCTTCTGCCCTTGGGGTCAGCCACCCCATGCACCCCAAAGGAGGCAACCCTCGTGCTGCAAAACAATGTTATGAGGTTGAGGAGCAGCATTGCACGGCCCCAACTGGTGCTGGGTCGGCCTCTGAACCTGTGCCCAGAATCATGGAAATCATTGAGGTTGGAAAAGATCTCTTAAGATCATCAAGTCCAACCATCAAACCATCCCCCACCATCCGTGTCTACTGGCTGTGTCCTGGAGATGTCTGTTCTGGGCCATGATGTGGCTGTGTGAGGGCAGAGCAGCCCCAAAAAGCACATCCTGGAGTGGGATACAGTGCTCACAGAGCCACGTGCAGCAGGATTGGCTTGCTGTCACTGCAGCACGCAGCTGGGGAAAGGCACGCTGAAAGGAGACAAAAATTAAATAGAGTTGCTGTGGCAAATGTGCTGGCAGCAGCCTGGCTATAAGGCTCGGGTGAGGTTACTCTGCAACATGGATCTGGGGAGAAGAAAGTGGGTTATTCAGATCCTCCCCATCCTGTATTGCTTGGAGATCTGAGGGCTCTTGAACTGGTTTTAACCGTGGGGAATGGCAGGTTTAAACCAACGATCTCCAGTGCTGCTTCACATGCCTTTTACTTGGACTTTCCTGCTTCCAGTCCAGCCCAAATCAATGCTGTGAGTTCAGGGGTCCTCCTGCTCCATGCTGCACACACAGCTGCAGATGGATGACCCAGACTGGGGCTGGCACTGCCCAACCTCCCTGTGAGTGGTGAGGGCTGACGCCTATTGAAAACTCTTGGATTGTTGCTATTTTGGCTCTGTTTGTTTTCTGAACAATTGGGAGATTTCTCAGTTGCTAAACACATCTTCGAAAACTTGAATTGCTCAGCCCAGATGCGTCGGAGGTCAGTGCTGGTGCTTTACAGCTGGGAAGGAGGGGTGAAGATCTCACTTAAAAGCCATTTTCTTTCCACTTCCAATGGAAGAGGATCCTTTTCTCATAGCCCATTCCCCTCCCCGAGGCACCACCCGATATCCCCTGTGCAATCTGCAGGATGGACATCATCTGTCGGTGCTTCTGGAGAGGGACCTGCTTGTGGCTCCCGGCCAGAAGGGTTGGGTGAGCCAGGAGCTGGCTGAGATGGGAGTGCAGGAAGGGAGTGAGGAGGTGGGAGGAGTTTCTGATGATTGTTTGATATCGCTAAGAGAAGCTGGAGAGAGCTTCACCATGTGTTTGGATAAGGGTTGTGTTGCATACCCTGTTTCCATAGGGCAGGAAACCCTCTGGGACTGGGATCTCAACGAGGTCTTAGCAGTTTTGAAATCCCAGATTAGCAGCCCTGGTAACTGAAATCTTGTTTAGCCCTCCCTGGCCCTACAGTCTCCACTTGTGCTGCTCCAGGGCCCCACGATCCTACTATGGCTCTGCTACGGCCATTTGTTTTCCAGCTATGGACAAGGGGTTCCCAGGCAGAGCAACTAAATGTGAACTTGGAGGATTCCTGGGCTTCCTTGTGCTCAGATATAGGTGTGGAATGAGCTCAGATTCTGCAGGAAAAGAGCAAAATGACTGCAGAGCTGTGGGGTTGTACTGCTTGTCCAGCCCTTGTGTTTCAGTGCTGGGGGCACAGCAGCAACCACCCCACAGAGCGGGACCAGAATGAGTTGGTCTGGCCATAGGATGGGCTCCATCACCCTTCTGCCTCTAATTGCCAGCCATCACATCCCCCCCAGGGGTGTGTAATTGAAGGAGCACAGAGCTTATTTAGGTCACTCCAGACCACATGTAAGGGTTGGGCATCCCCTGCTTGTGCTTTTCTCCAGTGCTGTTATCTCCAGAGCTGCCTGAGTGGCAATTTTTCAAGTCATGTTCCCTTTATTTGAATGCATACTTGCAGCCAGGCTGTTTCAGTTCTCAAATATTTCTCTATCTCCCACAGACCAGCAAAAAGGGGGAGGGAATGCCATTTCCAAGGAGCAGAACTTGGACTCTGAACTGGCTACAGCGGGGTCCATGCACTGATTTATTTATCCTCTACTGTTACTGTGCAGTGCTGAGTTAATCCCTGTGGCAGCATCCTTGTCCTATCTCAAATAGGGCTCCTGGAATTGCTGGAGTCTTGTTCCTGTCCCAGCACAGGGACTGACCCACTCATCATATCAGCCCCAATGCTTTGCAGTATTGTTGTGTTTGGACTTTGCTCATGGGCTGTTAAGAGAGGGAAGCCTGGAGCCCTGGGAGCAATGAGGCTGCTCCCTGGGGATTGGCTCTAGGGGGGGAAATGAGGGACAGGAGTGTGGATGGGGCAGAGGGGGGTTGGGGTTGGCATTGGGGTTGGGGTCAGTGCTGCTCTCCTTTGAGGCAATAACGGGCATGGTGGTGATGGGTTGATGACTGGACTAGATGATCTTAGTGGTCCTTTCCAACCTTAACGATACTGTGATGAAGCAGTGACTGCAGCACAAAAATTACTGCGCCTCCTATGGGGTTTGGTTTGTTTGCTTGCTGCTTATGGCGTTATGCAAACAATCCCTTACAGCTGATAGCTACGTTCATTGGTATGGATTCATACAGCACAGCACTTCTGTTATCTGATAACCAGAGTGCTTGGTGTGTCTTGTGGTCAGTAGTGAGTTTGCTCCTGTTATGCCACTGGGATGTGGATGGGTCCTGTGGATGGCAGAGGTGGGATGGAGGTGGCTGAGGTGTTTCCCAGGGCTGGTGGTGAAGGAAAGGAGTTGTTTTGGCTCACACATGGTGCAGACTGGGGAGGAAAGTCATTGGAATCTGGAATGCTGAGGCCTTATTTTTAGCGTGGCTTTTCTTTCTGCTAACCGCGCTTTAACAACGAGCAGCTGAGCTGAGTGCCTGCGTGCAGACCTGGCTTTAAAGGGTTTGCTACCCATCTTACCAGAGCTACTTTTCATGTAAGGAACAAAACCACGATGCATTTCCCTGCTCTTTGCAGCGGTCGTGTCTCCATGGTGACCCGAAAGCTGAGAGCCCGTGCCCGCCTCGCCTCTGAAGTCGATGTTTTGGTTTGTGAAGTGATGTGGGTTTGACTGGGGCTGTTTTGGAGTCAGAGCTCAGCTCAGGAAGCCACGCTGGGGAGAGCACAGCATGGGGCTGCCAGGGGCAGCACTTCTCTGTGGGGAGCTCTGGGGATGCTGCACGTGGTCGGTTTGGATCCCAAACTTCACCTTCCAGTCTGGGCCAAAAAAAAAATAAATAGGGTTTCGGTGAAAGATGTTGCATAAAAAGCTCTGTGGGTGGCTGTGTGCACTGGGGTTCTGCTGAGGGACGTGTGTGGCTCTGTTATGGGGGACTCAGGGCCAATGCTCTGATGGTCTGGATGACACAGGTTGCTACATCCCATCCCAACTGCAGCAGTGGGAGCTGGCAGCAGGACAGCCTGTGCTCCTGCAGCTCTGCTGTGACTCAGAGCATCGCCCCACTGCCTGGGGTGTTCTTTGGGGGGTGTCCCACATCCCACACACCCCCTCCCTCCCCATCCTGCTCATTCTCCTGCAAAGCTTGGCTCTATAGGGGTGGGAGTGTTTGGGGGTTGATCCCTCTTAGGTTAGGCCATGGTAGGAGTTTTATATGGAAGGAGCTGGTGTACCCCTACTGTCCCACATCAGATTTGTATTTTCACTTTGAAGGGGAGGGCTGCATGAAGCTGCCTGCGCTCCACCTCCAGATTTTGGGGAACTCTGACAGCAGGGTTTGCTGCAGGTCGCTGTGGCTGCTGCTCAGACAGGGGCAGCTGCAGGAATGGGGTTGAGG